CCCCCCCCCCCACCTGAAGGCAGAACCCCAGGGCTCGGGTTTGTCTGTTTGTCTATATAGAGCTAGCTCTTGACATCACTTAATAGGGCCAGGGTAATTGACTAAAGGGAGGGAGGGAGGGAGGGAGGGAGCACAGATACACAGTGCTCAAGATTAAGCACAGGTACTTGGGAACTTTATGCTGAGCTTCCTGGCAGCCAAAGTGAAAAGGGCTACATGCTCAGTTATGTAGCTTTCTTTGTCCCCATTCCTCAGGGAAAATGGAGCTTTTCCAACGACTCAGTAACACAGTGATAGGTTTCATGAGTCTGGTTTTTGTAACTTCTCCCAGCTGGCACCAAAATGGAGCTCGGTTTCCCTGAATGAACATGATGGGGAGAGGGCGTTCCTGGTAGGGGAGAGGCCCAGAGGTGTGTTTGGAGGAAGGGCAGGGGGCAGGCTGACCTCGTGGGTCTGTCCTGTCGTTTCAGTTGGGCCACGTGGTCCTCTCCCCAGTCTGGTTCCTGTATAGCCTGTTCATGAAGCTGTTCCAGCGCTCCACCCCAGCCATCACCCTCGAGAACCCGGACATCAAGTACCCGCTGCGGCTGATTGACAAGGAGGTCAGTGTGGGGCCTGAGGGGGTCGTGGGGCATGGGCACCTCTCTGTCCTTGTCAGCATCACAGCATTTCACAGGCACCTACTATGTGCTCAGGGCATGGCCCCTTGGAAGTAGGTCCCATTATCTGTCCATTTTACAGACGGGGAAAGCAAGGTATTCCCTTTCTAAGGCTACCAGTAAGCGGCAGAGGGCTTTGAACTCAGGTCTTTGCCCACAGAGCTGGTTCTTTGAACCACACTCACCATTCCCCAGAAGGTCAGAGTGGGAGGGACCCCGTAACGACTCTTGGGTCCAAGTAACCATTTAATGGCTGTGAAAACAGAGGACAAGAGAGGAGATACTGGGCTTCCCTGGTGGCGCAGTGGTTGAGAGTCCACCGGCCGATGCAGGGGACACGCGTTCGTGCCTCGGTCCGGGAAGATCCCACGTGCCGCGGAGCGGCTGGGCCCGTGAGCCGTGGCCGCTGAGCCTGCGCGTCCGGAGCCTGTGCTCCGCAACGGGAGAGGCTGCGACAGTGAGAGGCCCGCGTACCGCAAAAAAAAAAAAAAGAAAAAAAAAAGGAAAAAAAAAAAGAAAAAGAGAGGAGAAACTCAGGTCACACTGTGAGTTAGGGGAAGGACCAGGACTTAGGCCTAGGCCTCTCGGCTCCCATCCCAGTGCCCCTTCCTTAAAGATAAGGTCTCCTCCCCTCCTCCCCCGCCCGCAGGGTCACCTACTCGGGGCCCCTAGAGTCTTTTGCGTCTGTCAGATTCCCTGCTGATCTCCTGATCTCGCGATCTCGAGGGTGGGCGGGGCGGCTCCATCTGCTCCTCCCACAGGCTTGCTCCTGCCCTCCCCACTTGATGCTTTTCCTTTTCAGACCTCTGATCTTGATTTAAAACCATCCTCTCCCTCCTTTGCCCAGCCGCCCACCCTGTAAGGCTGTTTCCCTCCTTACTCTCTCTCATCAGAGCCCCTCCCATGTGCTATTTCTGGCCACCGCAGCTGCCTCAGGAGGGGTGTGACAGGGAAAACTGAGTCATGGGGCAGAGAAAGTCAGTCACTTGCCGGAAGCCTGAGTCCTGGGCTCTAGTCTGCACCTGGGCTCCGCATGAGAGCTGGGGCTCCTGTGACTGTACTTGCACCAGGATTTCATAGAAGTTGAAAACCAGAGAGAGGCAAAAAGAAAAGAAAAAGAAAAAAAAATTAGTGCTTCCCAGATGAGACCACACTTATCCTCTCAATATATCTTATACACAATTTTTTCTTACTAAAATGAAATAACAATGTTTTAAAACCTTTTCCTTTTATAAGGTTCTTTTTCTTTGTTGTTGTTTTTTAATTCCCAAAGTAATGTATGATTTATATGTGCTCGCTATAAAAATTTTACTTTTATAAAATAAAAGCACATATTTATATGTGCTCTGTTCATGAGGTGTGAACGTTCCCCTCCCCCATAACCCCTTTGCAGAGGGTCCCCTTCACGGGTCACCGTGAGCCCTTCTGGTTGTACATTCCTGTGTACATGATGTGTGGAGGTTCAGGTGTGTGTATACTTAGTTTCTCTTTTTTAATAACCTGAGTTTTTACCCAGCTGTACAATATGGACACCTTTACATGTCTAACCCAAAGCTGATTCATTATTTTTGACGACTGTCTGGTATTTTGTCACAGGATGTCACACGGTGGACCCTCCAGGCCCCTTTGATTCATCAGGAGGCACATGTGCTAGCAGTTCCCCTCCCCCATTGTAGCCTAGTGGTGGGCCAGCAGGTGGGCCTGCTCTTGATACTTTTGCCGTGGCCCAGGGAGGGGTCCCGGCTGTCGGCCCTTCCCCTTTCTGAACGGGACTGGACCAGGTGATCAGCAAGGTTGCCCACAGCTCTGAGAGTCTACTGCTCGGGTCATCACGGCCAGCACCGTGCTGAGCTCTCACACACGTTAGCCTCATGACTTTTGCTGTGCTGGGCTAGTAATCATCAGTGTCTTTCTCTCATTTCTGTTCTTCCTCCAAAAACATCTGGCACGTGGGTTTCTGACCTTGAGCCCCAGAACCAGTTGATAATCCTGGGATCCACTTGCGGGAGGCCCTGGGGCTCCGTTTGCAGCTTCAGGCCCGGACTGTGGGGCAGAGAGGCCCACTGGCCGCCAACAAGCACTGCGTCCTAAGTGGTGGCTGGGCACCGTCTCTCCTGAGATCCAGGCCACCTGCCTTGGCTCACACGCTTCAGTGATGCTTAGAGTGACGCTCTGTCCCTTTGGAGAGGTCTGGCGTCTCCCCTCCGGGTGGTAACACTGTCCGTCACTGGACCTTGCCTCGTGTGGGCGTGAACATGTGCCGGACAGCTGGCTGCCTGCCTTCCGAACGGCCACTCGACACCCACCATCCTGCTGCACCTGGTGCGGGGGAGACCTCACAGGAGCCTTCCGGAGCCCAGGTTGGAGTCCGGGCACTGGGTTCGGTTCCCAGCTCTGACACAGCTCACTGTGGGATGCTCGCCTCCCCGGCCCCAGTCGAGACTGGGCTCCTTCTTCAGCCCAGCCTCTCTCTTACGCAGCCTCTGCCCGACCCTGGAGGGGGAATGGCCTTCACCCATTGACCACACCCTGGGTGCATGCCTTGTCTTGGCCATGGCCAGCCCCAGTGACCTCCTGGGCAGCAAGGCTGCCATGCCTCCTGCCCTCTGCAGCCCAGCCACGGTCATGCTGTCCCGCTTCTCGGTGCGCGGGTTGGGGGGGCTTTTAGTGTAGTGGCTTCTAGACCCCCTCTCTTGAGTCCCAGGCCTGGGCACGGGGGACCTTGTCTCAGCTCTGCCCCACTTTGCTGGCCCAGTCCCTGAGCTGTTTCTGCCACCCCAGGAGACTTCTCAAGCTGTGGCGGAGGTGGATCCTTTCCTACTGTCCCTGGAATTTTCTGGGCTGTCTGGCAGCCTCCCTTTGGGATCTTTTTTTTTTTTTAAAGCACAGGCTCTAGGTGTGCAGGCTTCAGCAGTTGTGGCACGAGGGCTCAGTAGTTGTGGCTCGTGGGCTATAAAGCGCAGGCTCAGTAGTTGTGGCGCACGGGCTTAGTTGCTCCACGGCATGTGGAATCTTCCCAGACCAGGGCTCAAACCCGTGTCCCCTGCATTGGCAGGCGGATTCTTAACCACTGCGCCACCAGGGAAGTCCCTCCCTTTGGGATCTTGAGCTCACTCCCTGCTCCGACCACCTTGCCCTGTGACCCTGGGTGGATCACTGCCCTTCTCTGGGCCAGTGAGAGCAGAGGCACACCCAGTGTGTGCCTGACCTCTGTGCCCTTGCACACGCGTGTGCAGGTTGTATGTCCATATGTCAGTGTCACTTCTCTCAATGACACTCCAGTGCTGGGGAGGGGTGGGCACTCTGAGTCTGGGGGCCCCCTCTGCCCTGGGTGCCGTCCAGCAGCTCACGCCTTGTTGCAGGTCATCAGCCATGATACCCGCCGGTTCCGCTTTGCTCTGCCATCGCCCCAGCACATCCTGGGCCTCCCCGTCGGTGAGTGCGGCCCCAACCCAGCACACGTGGAGCCGGTGCTGGGACAGAGAGGTGGGGACTTTGCATTTCAGTTAGTGCAGGGAAGGCTTCAGGGAGGAGGTGACAGCCACCCTGGGCCTTCAAGGGTGAGCGTCAGAATAAGAGGCCAGTTGCTTCAGTGTCCCTGGCAGTGGCACGAGCACGAGCAAAGGCAAAGAGATGGGACATGATGGGAGTCCCTGGGGGTGGCGAAGGCAGCAGTGGAAGCCGAGGTCAGGCTAGGCTTTGAATGCTGGACGGGGTGCAGCGAAGTGGGCTGACGAGACCCAGGGGGCCCTGCAGGGGTAGTCAGCCCACACTCACCCCTGCTGTCCTGCAGGCCAGCACATCTACCTCTCGGCTCGAATCGATGGGAACCTAGTCATTCGGCCCTACACGCCCGTCTCCAGCGATGACGACAAGGGCTTTGTGGACCTAGTCATCAAGGTGAGGTCTTGGGGCCACAGCTGCTTGGGGCAGGGGCGACCACCTCGCAGCCAAGGCCCCACAGTCTGATCTCTGAAGGCCCTGTGCTTGCTGTGCCTGGTTTCTGAGTGAATAGCAGATCATAATTCTTAGCACAAGCCAAGCTTTGGGGTCTCGGCAGAGGGCAGGGGCTGGGCTCAGGCTGAGCATCTGCAGAAGAGGAACCAGGCAGGCCCACCAGCCCGTGGAGGGCTCACCTTCCTGCTCTCGGACTGGCGAAGCCCAGTGAGCTGGGCGCCTGCTCTTCCCCTGGGAAGCGTCCCACAGGCCCGCTGGGGGTGCAGTATGAGGAGCTCACGGGACCGTGTCCGGGAGCCGGGGTGAGGGGCTTTCTGGGGTCCATCACCGGTTGGGGGCTGGGTGTGCGCTGTGGGAAGATGTAGCCATTAGAAGCAACAGACCAGAGAGACGTAGAACAACCAGCAAGGATGTTAAAAAACAAGATGCTGAACAGAAGGAGAAATGACAACTAGAGCCCGGTACATTTTTATGGAAATTAGAAACACAGACTTTCCAGCAGTGACCCATGTTCTCTGATTACACACCCACCCAAAAGTGTGATCCAGCCCAGGCCAGTGGGCTGGGTGTTAGAAACCCTCCCTAGTCGAGGCCCAAAGTTCCACGGCCGCCCTGGCTCAGCACCCCCGGGGACCAGGCTTGCTCTCTCAACTCCACTGTGCAGGCCCCAGGGCCCCCTCACTGGACCCTTGGGTGGGGGGACAGGAGCAGAGACCCCCACTGGGCCTCAGCTTCAGCCCTGGGTCCTACAGGGTCCTGGGCTGGGCGCTGTGTCTGTGAGGGCAGGAAGGGAGCTGGCCCTGTCAGTCCTGGCTCTGGCCTGGATCTCCTCTTCGCTTGGTGTCATTTAGACCCTGTGCTGGGTGCCCAGGCCCACCCGGCCTCGGTATCTTGTCTTTGGCTGGAGAATGGACACTGAACAGGTGGTCACACAGAGGTCAGTGTTTGTTCAGGGGACAAGCACAAGAGACTGAGCACCTAGAATGGGCACCAGAGCCGGGGCAGGGGTGGGGTGATGAGAGCTGCCCCCCTGAGCAGGCAACAGTGAGGCAAGATCTGGCGGCTGAGGAGGCGGCAGCCAGGTGGAGACGGAGGAAAAGGACCTTCCAGGTGCAAAGGCCCTGAGGTCAGGAGGAGGCTTGAGGACTTGAGGGACCGAAAAGGGAGAGGTCGGCAGGGCCAGGCAGATCCTTGGAGGCCCTGGTAGTCTGGGGCTTTGTCCGGAAGGAAAGGGAAGGTGGTGAGAGTTCAAGCATCTGTTCTTGCTGAAGCCTCTCGAGCCAGATGTGGAGGAGGTGTTGGGGGGATTCAAGTAGAGATGGAATACTCACCAGGACCAGGCCCTTCCTGGCTTGGAGACCTCACCGGCCCCCTTGGCCCTGGCTAAAGGTCAGGGCCCCAGCCTGGCACGCAGTGGGCTTTGCCCACTCTCCCTCCGCTCTCCCTGCCCCGTACGCCAGACACACAGACACATCTCCTGTGCTGTAGCCGCAGGCTCTTCTCCCCACCCCATCCCCGAGGCCCCAAGCCCTATTAGACGCCCTGGCCTTTGCCCACGCTGTCCCTCCCCCACTGCCTCTCCCCCTTCTCTGCTCATCACTCCTGCTTGCCCTTCAAGGCCCAGCAGAAATGCCCCCTGGTGCAGCCATCCCAGCCCTGGAGCTCCTCCTCTGTCTGCCCATCTCTCTGTACGAGGGTTGTAGCACATCCCTTTTGCCAAAGCTGAAATCCCAAAGGGCACAGGGAAGGAAATTGTTCCAAGAGTGATGTTTTTATGGCAGCACGAAGTGGAAAGAATTGAACATCCACCAGGAGGGCCTGGTGAGCCGGCTTCCCAGAGCCTTTTACTGAGCTGACAGCCATGGGGATCTCCTGCTGGGGGGTGGGGTGGGGTGGGGGTGGTCACAGAGATGCTTCCTGGCAGAACATTATGCAGCAGGCCCTCCGGTCGCTGCCTTGGACACCAGGCTGATGCTTTGCCCTCCAAGGGGATGTTATGGGGAGGGCAGACCACTGTGGGAGATGGGACACAGACGGGTAAGTTTTGATGGGTGGAAGGGGCATCGTGTGAGAAGGCCACACACAGCCGCAGAAGACCCCAGAAGAGCGT